GACCTTATGTCTGAGTTATGTTATAGAAGCAAAGTAACGCCAGAGTCAGCGTCGTGACATCAGAATATACCTAAACGAGTGATACAGACACTCGGAGCAAGGGGAATTCTTGCGACAATATCCCGGCCGGGCCCGGGGGGTAATCCCAACCACCGCAGCCCGGGGAGGGGCGTTTTTCGCCCCCCTGTCTTACTCCGTAAATAAGGGAGTTACGGAAACAAAAGCGATACCAAACAAAAGGTCCTTACGAGACGATTCTAAAGCAACTAAAATTTTAGACCTCAGGTCAATTTTCAAGGTCAGAGGTCAAGGTCAAAGACAAAAAACGGCACATGTGTAGTGATCTCAAATTAGGCGTTCTAGAGGACGGCAGGATGCATCAAACCGGCAAAATTGGGTGTCAAACGAAAGAAGAGAATCTGAGGATTCCGAAACTGTGCTGAAAATCAAAGGCCAAGGTCAAGGTCAAGCTCAAATTGACCTCAAACTTTGCACTTTTTCGTACATCTTGCGTGCTAACTTCCAAGATGTTTTGAAATGTTTTGAGGCTTATCAATTCCCTATTTGTGGTTCATCTTACGATACAAGGCTGCTCAAAAGTCAAGGTCACAGAAGGGTATCCTTGCTAGAGGCTATTCCACTGATTCAAGTTAGAAATAATAAATAAGACAATTTTGCCATCCGGAAGCTCTAAATGAAAGCTTAGAGGAAAATAGATGCCAGATTCGTGATCAGCGGGTACAAATCCATCATAGGCGACCTTTCATGTGTCAAGGTCAACCAAAGGTCATTCGACATAAAACTTCATACATAAAACTCGTCAACATAAAACTTGACCTTTTCCAAACAAAATATATATCATTCGACGCGGCTTGACAAGACCAATGCGATGGTACCACTGCCGTAGCTCTAGGACCATTTTTGTCGAAGTTATTTGCGAAAAACTAAAACCAGCAAAACGCCTTTTGGGCGAAGAACGAGCGAGCGTGATAGTGAGCCCTGCACGTGCGGAAGGGCGAGAGGGTACTTCCAACGGGCTTGCGCAAAGCACCCTTCTAACCGGTCGCTAGCGGTGTACCAAATTTGAACGCAATCGGCCCAGCCGTTCCTGAGATCTGGAAGCGGCATTCTGCACGTGCGCACGTGCAAACAGGTCCAAACTGACTTTTGCACGGCACCCTACTAACTGGTCCCCAACCGTGTACCAAATTTGAGCGCAATCGGCCCAGCCGTTCTCGAGATCTGGAAGCGCCCCCTGCACGTGCGCACGTGCAGTAGCACCTTAACCGCAACACATGGGAATGCATTGCCTGGTGGGTGCCTACCTGTATGCCAAGTTTCAGCGAAATCGCCCCAGTAATTACCGAGTTATTAAAATGGGAACAAATTTGACACCTCTTATTGTTGTATTTTGCACGTGCACTGGGGGTGACCCACATGCATCGAGAGTAGGTATCCTATTTTTGGTAGAAGGGATGCTGCTACCCTACAAAAATTACCGCAAGTCAATCGCCCAAGCGGCTGCTGAGATATGAGCCTCTCAAAATCACTACTTTTGCAAAGCAGCTTGAACACCCTTGACTTTTCACGTGGCACGTGCCACGACGGTCACTGAGGTGTATCAAAAGTAGTCAATTACGGGGTAGAAGGGATGGGGCTACCCAGCAAAAAAGACCGCAGGCCAATCGGTCCAGCGGTTGCTGAGATATAAGCCTCTCAAAAGCGTTACAGGCCGGGCCGGGCCGGGCCGTTCATACTTAGATTTTTCCGTTATATTGACCAGTAAAACGCCTTTTGGGCGAAGAACGAGCGAGCGAGATAGTGAGCCCTGCACGTGCGGAAGGGCGAGAGGGTACTTCCAACGGGCTTGCGCAAAGCACCCTTCTAACCGGTCGCTAGCGGTGTACCAAATTTGAACGCAATCGGCCCAGCCGTTCCTGAGATCTGGAAGCGGCACTCTGCACGTGCGCACGTGCAAACGGGGTCCAAACTGACGTTTGCACGGCACCCTACAACTGGTCCCCAACCGTGTACCAAATTTGAGCGCAATCGGCCCAGCCGTTCTCGAGATCTGGAAGCGCCCCCTGCACGTGCACACGTGCAGTAGCACCTTAACCGCAACACGTGGGAATGCATTGTCTGGTGGGTGCCTACCTGTATGCCAAGTTTCAGCGAAATCGCCCCAGTAATTACCGAGTTATTAGAATGGGAACAAATTTGACACCTCTTATTGTTGTATTTTGCACGTGCACTGGGGGTGACCCACATGCATCAAGAGTATCCTATTTTTGGTAGAAGGGATGCTGCTACCCTACAAAAATTACCGCAAGTCAATCGCCCAAGCGGCTGCTGAGATATGAGCCTCTCAAAATCACTACTTTTGCAAAACAGCTTGAACACTCTTGACTTTTCACGTGACACGTGCCACGACGGTCACTGAGGTGTATCAAAAGTAGTCAATTACGGGGTAGAAGGGATGGGGCTACCCAGCAAAAAAGACCGCAGGCCAATCGGCCCAGCGGTTGCTGAGATATAAGCCTCTCAAAAGCGTTACAGGCCGGGCCGGGCCGCTCATACTGAGATTTTTCCGTTATATTGAAAAAACTCGCTTCGCTCGCTGCGCTCGCTCGCTCGTAACCACATTTCGGGGTCGTTGACCTGACCTCTGACCTCAGGTCACCAAAACTATTTTTCTATTTTTCTCTAGGTCAAACGCTACACAACTGTGCTCGTAATTTGTCTTTATCTCTAAAACTCTAATTTTAGCAGCTATTTGAAGTTTGCGTCTGTGACGCCGAAGTTTGCCGTGCAGGGGTCTAGAAAAATCGACCCTGTGACGTCATCAATATAGCTAGGCCCAATTTTTTTACTTCAGAAGATGTCAAATTGATTGGAGAAAAGGAACTGAAAGTTTCGCTTTCCTATCGCTAAGCGTTCGGGAGCTATCGCAAATATTCGCCAGGGGGGGGGGCGAAAAACGCCCCCCGGGCCCGCGAGGGATATACAACAGTGAGTGGCCTGTGACACTCAAGTCTGGAGTAGGACAAAAAGAGGAAATATGATAGTTGAAGTAGGGTAACTGTGGGGAAAACGCACCCCTGGGTTAAACGCCTCCCCTAAAAAATCGTATTTTTTATCGACGGATAGGTGTTTTATCCTGTCTTTCAGAACAGTCAGCTGCTTGTTTACGTAGGTCTCTATTTCCGGTTCCGCGTCTTGAGGAGCAGCGTGGGTAGGTGCTGATTTTGGTTTTGGGTGTGGTTTTTGTTGTTTTTTACAGAAGATTCCTAATATTTTGATGCCCTCTTTATATCACAAAACTTGCTATTGTGCACATCACTCAAAACTGCGTTTTATTGTCATTCTGTTGAATGTATTATGCTGCGGCGTTAGTGGCGCGTTTTTTGTCAATATTTTGTTGACCGGAAATGGAGTGGATGGGGCAAGACGCCTACTCGATGCATGGGGCAAAACGCCCCCAGTTTTCTGAAAGGGGGGCGTTTTGCACGGTGGTGAGAGTGCAGGGTAGCGCCCTGTAGGTCGGGGCCGAAAAGGCCTCTCCCTGTCCTTTTTTGCTGATATATCCTAAACGACTGCAGATATCGTCACCAAACTTTCATGACTCCTCCGGGCATCCATTTTACACATTGCAACAAAATTTTATTCCAAAGGCTATGATAGGTTGACCACAAATGACGTCAGAATGACGTCAAGTTCTGCCATGTTCATCATTTTCTGTTGATGGATGGGGTGGGGGCACTTTGCACATGGGTGTGGGCGTATTACCCAGGGTATGGGGCAAAACGCCCTTTTGTAAGGGTATGCGAAAACCTTTTTGGGGGGTTAAATCCCACACGCAGGTGTCTTTTCTTGGTCTCAAAGCGTAGTAAAAAGAATGAGCTACATGATGGTGCCCAAAGGTTTAAGTTATCTGTGTTGGGTTGAATGTCAGAAGGTTTCGCGCTTAAGGGGGGCGTTTTTGACCTATTCACCCTATATAGTTTCCTACATGCCTGTGTTCGGCGATGGCTTGCGAGCTAATACGAGAAGGAGACGCCTTAGTAATTAACCATGTTACCTTTACCATTCCATGCGCTAAATGAACAACTATCTAGAAACAGCGTAGGTATCTAGAATTTAACATAGTATTTAACGGACTTGCCCATACGTTCTGAAGAAATATAATTTCATTTATTTTAATGGGCGAATTACAGAGATCACAGACTTCACGACAAGTGCAAAGTTTGGTGCTAAGGGCGATTTTTCATACACCGTACGACCATTAACCTCCACGGCAGAATTTGGACGTGTCGAGTCCACACAGCCGCAGCAGCAGTATACCACAGGCTCGCCCCGCTGACATGTTTTGCTCAATATCTGACCGGTAACACGGTCACCGCCACCGGCCAGGACATCCCCGTCGGAACCGGAGAGCGAGCCCCGCAGCGGCGGGACCCGGAGCTCTCACCACCGCGCCGGCTACAGACTGGGAGACGGACATTCCCCCGAGCCCCCACTGAGGGCCGAGGCTCAGCTCTGCCAGGGTGGACAGGTCGACATTTATCTGGGTGTGGCAGACCAAATTAGACGCGTCAGAAAGCTTATACCCGCTACAACTTATATGCTTGTATGTACCGCTTATTCTGCTTTTATACCGAGCAAAACCCTGCCACTATTGACTGACGATCGAATTGGTCTTCAGGAGCACCACACTTAGCTCGATATAATTTATTGTCATTGTCGAAAAGTCGAAAGCAAACAATAATATTCTATCTAATAAGGTAAAGTGTAAGAAATGTAAAAGGTGAGCGATGAGCACCCGGAACACGGCCTGGTGCTGCTCTGGAGCAAGTTGCAGTGCTGACATAAGCCTACACCTAAACAGTAAATTGTAGGTATAATACCTTTTCATTTCACATCATCCGGCAGAGTATTTCGATGCCAATGAATAATTATCACAAAAGAGTTTGGCAGGATGTTTTTCAGATGAGTTTTCTCACCAGTTTTCAGCGGAGTCCCTCTAGAAAAATATGTTTGACGGCGCCGACAATAGTCACGGCCTCGACCTGGTGAGCTGTGGTGCAGCTCGCAACCACTGCGTTGGAGATGGAGTGCGTGCGCCGCTGATTCGACTCCCGGTACCAATCCGTTGGACGGGCGTACTGTCAACTGCTTTTTTCGTGGCACAGCTCCTCACTTTTACAATTATCCTCACTTATCCGACGGCGACCTCACTGCCTGCCAGCGGGCCGGTCGCGCCCTCACCGTCTCCCGCCGGCCGCGGTCGCACTGCCGGCCACACGCGGCGCTCGCACCGCTCTCCATCCGAGCCGCCGAGCCGACGGCCGGGCTCTGTTGCCCAGGCAGCCAAACGGACGCTAATCGGATAGAACAGACCTCTCTGTGAGCCGCTCAGCCGTGATCAGGTGACCGGCTGTGGCAGTCGCGCACATGAGTGGCATGCATTATATAATACATAGACAGAAAGATGGAAACAGCGCGGCGTGACAGCGCAGCAGTGACACGAGATGACATTGCCAATTTAAATTGGACTGATCGGTGGACCATACTGTGGACTATGTGGGGGAGGGGTATGAGAGATATCAGGGACGCCTGAGGGATGCGATGCTAGGTATACGTAGGGCACTAACCTGATCTGAGCTCCACAATAAAAAAACAGGTAATGCTCAGAAACGCTGCTGGTAGTTTTCAAGTCTTGGTAGTAAAAGTTAAACGCCCTCAGTTACACACAGTAGGGCGTGTCCCGTGTCCGTAGGTACACCTCCGTGCTATCAGCTGATATGAGCCCAACGCGGCCCGCTCGTCCGGCGAGGCACGAAGCACGCGCGATAGCCGGTGCTATCTGGTCTGCACCCCCGCCCGACCAAAGCACTTCTGGCTGCCTCCCGTCTCCGGCCCTCGACAAAACAGGATCACGGAACAGTGAAGCTCTCGGAAGTGGGAAGCTCTGGGAAGTGAGTGAAGCGACCTTTGCAGGAGCTTGCCGTCACAGCGCAGCCGTACGTTTACCGAGACAGCTATAGGTATAGGAAACTATAGAAAATCGGGTCGAGCATTGGTTGCAGCGTGCAAGTGCATGCTCCCAAAGCGTTGGGAAGGGTGGATGCACTCGGTGCCAGTCTGCCGGCTGGGCATAGCTCCAACAGATGACATCGGTCAGTTCGGCAGCCGGGATTTTCAGGCTGCATCCAATTACTGCAAGTTGCCCTTATATCTTCATAACAATAGAAGTATCATCCCGATACCTACAACTTACAAGTCTTTTAGATTGCAGTCATTAGTCAATCTTACCGGACAAAGTGCGATGCGATCCGGTCTTGCGTTCAATATTCGAAGGCTTTTGGTGAGGTCCGGTCTGGCCTTTGCGTTCAATATTCGTTATTATAAGGAACCGAACTAAAGTTATTAGAATAAACAGCGATACTTCCTCAGTTTTGCATTATCATATTTTCCAGCAGCGCCTCGGGCGCGTAACACTTGGCCCGAGAGTTCGGAGCCGCTCGACCGATGGATTTATTGAGCCGTAATATGATAGGTCTGCGGAGCTCGGCCATAATGGGTGTTATGGGAAGTCAGTGCTCAACCCGGTCAGGTCACGCAAGGAGCCGCATGCGATCGGAAACCATTCAAAGTCTGGGAGACATGTATCGGAGAGCTGCTTAGAACCATGTCGACGGGCATGACGACCTGGTTCTTGACTGCATATGCTACTTCAATGTAACAGCTTAGCTATGCTTGGGTTATTGAGGCATTTATTCTACTATTGTTTGTTCTACCCTCACCGTTTCGCCCCTTATTTAGCTTAGATCCTACAAAACGAGAAAAAAGAGCGTATATGCCGTAACAACACACAGCGACTGGTACCCGGGACTGGGGCACTGGACTTGACCTCAGAGGTCACCGGTTGACCTGAGACCTTAAAAATCGGGTAGGAGTCGCTGCGTCTTGTAACGATGCACATGCTTGTTCGCGAAGATCTTCAATCTTCAGTTTAACTAACTATGTAGAGGCGAAACGGTGATCACTAGTTCCGCCAAACACATGGCAGGGCCGGGTAGGTAGGCACGTAAAAATATAGAACCGGCGAAGATTGGTCTTGAAAATAACCAAAATGGTTTTAAAGGTATAAGAGTGGTGTCAGTTTTAAAAAGTGTTGAAATACTTCAAGCACACGAATAATCTTAACCCGCGCCTTGCCGGTGCTCCGCGACTTCCGCGCCGGGCCGGGGGGGGGGGGGGGGGAGGTGTGTCTGAAGTTGTGAACACCCCTCCCCCCCTCTAACTCGGCTCCTGGGCCACGTAGCGACACGCGGTAAACGGCATTCGAAAGAGCGTCAAAAATAATGACGGAAACACTTCGTTCATTTTTTTGGGTCAGGTCAAAGGTCAGGTCACCAGAGGTCATCAAAGGTCATATGTAGGCAATTTCAATAATTTTGGAAACTGCCAACGGCTCACTCGGGAACCAATAGAGCTACAGCGCCGCGGAAAAGCGCATTCGATAGCCCTTTTACAGACCTTTCTGAGTTTTGTTCTCAAATTTGACCTCGAGTCAACGGTTTGGCCTCCAGAGGGCAAAAACTGTAAAAATAGCAGTTTTCACGAAAATGGTTTTTCGTCAATAACTTTGGACTCAAGTAAGCCACGACATTACTTTTGGCGGCATCGTGTTCCTCTCGTCGAGACGCGTCGAATGAATTATTTGTTGACCTTGCAAGGTCATTTTGAAAATTTGACCTCAGGTCAAGGTCATGACCTGACCGGAAAGGGTCATGTTGCATATCAGTCGATCCGCATCGTCAAGATGAATACATCTGACGTGTTTTCATCGCTCTAGCACGTCTTTATCAAAAGTTATAGCCAAAAAACTGCTGGTGACCGTTCATGACCTGGGATGACCTCAGGGGGACACAGAGGGGTCACAGGTGCATTTTACCGATTCAGCGTGTCATGTTTACCTATGAACCGATGTTTGAGAGGGTTTTGAACATCATTCGTCCAAAAGAGGCGCATTTCAATTTTCTCCCATTGACTTATAATGGAGAGGTCGCAAAATTGACCTGACCTTAGGTCACCGATATCAAAATTCTGATTATACATTTTGTACATACCTACTGTTACTCTTATCAATCGCTGAAAGTTTCAAGGCGATCGTTCAGTCGGTGTAGCTATGACGAGGATTGAAACTTTTTCTGAGGTGAGGTCACTTGACCTGACCTGGTGACCTGACCTTGAGAACCCTGGGTCTGAAATTTTCACAACATGTGTGGAAAAGATGCATGAACAAGTGTGCCAAAAACAGCGGCTTTTGAGATATCTGCGAAAAACCAAAGGGGGGGATGTTCAAACACCCCCCCCCCGGCCCGGCGCGGGATAACCGAAGGTTTGTTGTTCAATAGTTAAAACGCTATTCATTAGAAATGTTTTTCTATTGAAAAACAAATCTGAGTTCCTTAAGTTTTTTTCTAAAGTAATGTATGCTTTCAAACAAATCTTACACATTCACCGCTTTCATATACGTACGCCATGTGACAGTATCTATGTAGTCCGATTCCAGTTTGGTCCGACCCCGCCGTGCACCGTCCCTGCCGCGACTGACCGCACACTGACCATTGCGCGGTGAGCCGGGGAAGGCCGACGCGACGGGCCGGGCCGCGCGACCCCACCGCGCCGGCACCGGCCGCCGCGGGCCGCGCGGTGAATCTTTCAGGCATGTCGTGCCGCGAGCGGCGCGGTCGAACCGCGCCCGCCTCTGGGCGTATCAGCCACTGCGTGTGCCCAGGACATTAGTCTGTCTTGGGGCGGGCCGAGCCGGGCGGAGGGAGGACGGATGGTGACTTCAAAACCGACTGTGCCGCCCAGACAGAAGTTGAAGTCCCTCGATCACGGATCTCAATGAAACTGAGCGAGGTGTTCCGTAACGAAACGCTACGCGGAGGCATACATAGCATAACTAAGAACGCCCTGACTTGCCCTGACATTAAAATAGGGTCTTTACTAATGTCTAGACAATCAGCGGTTTGAAAGGTCGTGATGCACCTGACATTGAACTACGCCGTACTTCCAATGTATCGCGAGTTCGTGTGGCGGTGGCCGGAAGAAGAGCCGATAAGGTTTGCGGTGGGTACGATACTGCGGCACGCGGCACAGCTCACAGACAGCCGCGATATGCGTGGGCCTCAGGCCGGCACGCAGTTACACGATAACGCAGAAACGGGGCGACGACCATCGCAAGAACACATTCAGCATCCGAGCACATAACGTCCGCAACGCAGTCATCAGAGCCATTAATAATGAAACCCGTTCAAGCCCACATCGACTGTCGTCGATACACGAGTATACGGCAGAAGCAATAGAAAGAGGCAGAAGGAATAGAAAGAGCAAGATTGCAATTGTTATTGAAAACAAGTAATGACCATTTTCAGTTTTCATTAATAGCCAATAATGCCAGTAGAGATAGGAAAAAATAAGGCGGCCAGGGTAGGTTAACGGCCACCCTTTCAATAGTCTTAACCAGAAGGTTATTGAAAGGGTAGTCAGCGGAAATAAACCAGAAGGTAGTCAACGGAAATGAAATGGTAGTCAGCCTAGCGTTAGCAGCGAAAAATGAAAAGCTGAAGTAGGTATCTTTCTCGCCGCTCGTTGCCATTGAAGTGGAAAATACTCGATTAACTTTGCCAGAGACCTTTCCAGTGCCATTAGAGACATAATTAGGGACGTATCATTAAGCACAACTATCGTGCCAAGCTTTCGAGCTCTCCGGGTGAGCATGTTAGTCAAGTCTGCTGTAAGATCCCAAGACTCACGCAAATACCGAGACAGTTTATTAACTGATTAATAGATACATATGAGGCAGGCATCCCGTCTTAAAAGAGTCTACAATCACAGAGTACACCACCAAGAGAATGCCAAAACAGCACAGTATAATTGTAAATCCGTATGGAAAACGTGTACTCAGTGAACAATACATCTTACAAGTAGAAATAATAAATACGACATGCCGAGGCTGCACCGATCCAGGTGTGGAACTACACGATAATGACGTTCCTGGTTATAAAAATAGATATTCGGCCTTACACGCAGTTGCGCAGTCCCAGCCAGACATACTTCTTACGGATTAGGACGGATCCTTGAACAATGGGAGGGCCATCTTACCGGCATCCACCAGTGCACGCTGACAACGTATATGCAATGCTCTGCATCGCACACACCAAGCACCAATCCGTAGACGTGAGCTCGTCAACGGAAACGGTAGCGGCGGCAGCCACCAACGGCGCTGGCACCAAACGTCAATAGGCCGCAGTCCGTCCTCGAAAGAGTAGCGCAAGGGCTCCTTGATAGCCATCACGCATTCACGGATGCAACACTTCCTGCATTTGTACCGTGAAGACTTGCTAAAATAGCACTATGTAGTTGATGCCGATATGTATCTCAGCAGGCCCACACTAGTTCCAAATTCGTAAATATTACGGTATTTACACACACAATTACTCGAGACATAACTATTTCAATAACAATATGAAGTAGGAATGTATACCGACTCAAACATACGCGTTCCCTCACGCATTCACGAGACAACCCGTGTAAAGCCTCTTATAAATTTGGTTCTTGCTCTGCGCACAAGCCTTAATTTCAATGCGCGTAGTGCGTACACTATGAACTGCAGCCGGCCAGTCTCCATACATTCGACCTTAGTCCTATCGGGCCCTCAGATAGGACTGCCGTCTTTCCGTCGTATCTCTTTGGTCTGGACAGGACTATCGCTCACACGTTTGCCCAATACTGAACCTACCATATCGATGTGCCTCTGTCCGAAGGTCACACGCGGATGACTTCGAGACTGATGCCCACTGCACCAACGCACGAAGCGAATTTTCAATCCGGATACCGCGCTATTCACTGCGTGTCCCGACGGACCAGGCAGCTTGGGTTCACTGAGCATCTTCGGCCAGTGCTTCCCTTGCAATCAGCACCGGTCATACAGTCTGTCATGCCGACAGCAGACGACACTCATCGGACCGACACTCGCCCGGGCGGGGGCTCCACGACAGCCGACACTCACCAACAGCCGACAGCTAGACGGCGGCCCGGGCGGCGGCGACCGGACCGACAGCTAGACGGCGGCACGGGCGGCGGCGGCCGGGCAGACAGCTAGACGGCGGCACGGGCGGCGGCGGCCGCGGAGGACGGCGGCGACAGGTCGGCCGACAGCGCCTCCTCCTCAGCCGTCATGTCCAGCACGTGCGCGTACACATGGTCCTCGAGCTCGCGGCGCGTGGCCGGCGGCCGGAACACCTGGCCACAGATGGGGCAGGTGGGCGGCTCGGCGCCGGCGGCCGGGTCCGGCCACCGCCCCGACGGCGCGCCCGTCGCCCGGTCGGCGGTGCCCGGCCGGCCCGACGGCGGGCTACCCGTCAGGGGGATCTCGTGCAGGGGAGGCAGTGAGCTGTCCGCCCGCTCCGTGCCCAGACCACCTGGAATGGGGACCTCAGCGTCAGCGAACAGAAAGACTGGTGATAATACAGGCGAGAGTAATCGGAGGTGGGTATACCCCATCTGATACACGGACATCACAAATATTGTCAGAACGAGATACAAAATACGGTTTGTATAATCCGAGCCCCGTAAGTACTTTTTGCTCTGTATTGGATATCTGCCTCTGGCCACTAATGGAATGTCAGCCTTACAAATAACGCCAATACCTACTCCAGCTTCAGAATGGCATCCAGCAAAAACGAAGCATAAGATATTGATGGTCTGAATCGCTGCGTGATATGTCAACAAATGAGGCAAAACCAGATTATCGGGTGATCAATGGTATGCAAGTCACAAGGTAATGAATGTTATGAATGTTGTAATACAGGTCCTGTACGGAGTGATATATGAGGTTGGAATAGGCAACAATCACGCGCTTTGCGCGTGATGCTGTATTATCCCCTTGATCATTCGAAAGCAAACACGCCGGGTGACACACTGGTACCGGAGACAGGATTCCACACTGGTGCCGGAGACAGGATTCCACACTGTAGGGTGTCTCGAAAGTGGGGTCAAAAAAATTAATTCACTTCCTATAGCAAAAACCACTTGCATCTAGCCTTATTATGACATGAAATGATGATTAAAAATTTTTCATTTAATGTTAAGAACCAGCGCACCTCGTCTATCGTAACCCTTTCCTGACAATTTCAGGCGTTACAGTCTCCATAGGCTTTCTTCGGTGTTATTTTCACGTAAACCGTATAAATGCGTTCTCGCTTCAGCTTGCGATCTTTCAACGAATCAATACATTTGTTGCATAAACATTTACTAAAACTTGTTCCTAGCGCAACATATCAAAAAATTGCTACCTTAGTGATACTCATCCTGCTGACAGTAGGTTATGCTAAAAGCTAATATCCATGCCGCTGACAAGGTAAAATGCAGTAAGAATGCCAACACACATGGTATACGGCGTTTTCTACGTTTCTGTCTTGCTCTTGAGCGCACTCCATTCCAATTTTTTTGTCCGGATAAGTGGGAGGTCGAGCCTTGACTTCGCAAGGCTGACATTGATATCGGTCGTCATGGCCGACACGCTTCTGCGACACTCTTCTGCGCTAGCAGCATTCCTCTGCTTCAGGAATCATCGGAGAACATCGCTTCTGCAAGGAAACTGCGTGCAAGGAAGACTAGCGGATCCAGATTTGCGTTTTTTTTTTGGGGGGGGGGGGCAACTCATGTAGGAGCCAAACCTAGCGTACCCCCAAATCCTATTTTATCATCGGATGTAGGCCACTTATTTTTCGTCACAGCCCTGACACGATGAACATTTTTTTTTTTACTAAAAAGAAAAAATATAGAAATGGTAACCCACCCGACCCATGCCTTTATATCGCTTTGTAGAAACACTTCACATTGCTTTTGTCGACCAGTTAACCCGCTCCGGGTCGGTGCTTGGCGCAACCTTTGCGGGCCGGGAGGTGGTAAAACACCCTGTTTAACTCGGCTCCTGGGCCACGCACTGATTGAACTATGTTTCATTATCGTTTGGGGGGGGGGGGGGGCAAACAGGCCACTTTAGGCTTTGAGGGGGCATAGCCCTAAATGCCCCCTCCCTGCAGATCCGCCAGTGTAAGAGACCATTGGAGCTGGAGGAAGGTCTGCTAGGTGGACATTCAGCACCGGGACCACGGTCTGGTTACGGGTACTTGGACCGGGCTTTGCCATGGCCTGAGAATGAATGAGGAACTTCACCACCAATGCATACATCGACAGTCGACACCATCACGAGAGTTCAATCAACACTGGCGGCCGCAGCCCCTCGAGGTGAAACTCACCAAGCCTCCAGGCGGCAGCGGGCGTCGTTCTCGTCCTCGCCAAGTGGCAAGTAGGCTCTGGACACGAGACGGCTCAGAATTGTGGCTTGGGTTCTGTGATTATGGTTAGAGCAGACGAAAGTTATCACTGTGCTGCTGCCGCGGTCGGGCTCGAGGGGCTCGAGTGTCGACTAGGCGTCTGTGGCGCTAGCGTGTCTGGTGCGAGCTCCGACTGAGATTATGGGCTGGTGCCGGACGTGGTTTGTCCAGAGTTTAGCTGCGCTGAAGCGCAGGTCGCATTACAGGCGTGACTTTAAAAAGTGTATCGACAACGTCTACACTAAATAAAGTCAATTAACTACCGACCTGAAACTACGCTTAAACTCTACGCCCACGAACTCTACCTGAGACTTTCGTGAAAACCACCGTATTATTACTGCCACTAACACCAAGCAAAACCAATGGAGACTGCAACGCCCGAAAAGTAGGTGCAAGCTTTTGGAAATCGCGACTGCGCTTGTTGAAGACAATGGCTCATAATTTTTTAATTGCGATTTTCGAAACCAGCAGACTCGATTGCAAATGTTTTGGGTTATAGGCATGTCAACTTTATTTTTCGAGACACCCTATTCCACAGTGGTACAGAAGGCAGGATCCCACACTGGTACCGGAGACAGGATTCCACACTGGTACCGGGGACAGGATCCCACACTGGCACAGGAAACAGGATCCCACACTGGTACCGGAAATAGGATTCCACACTGATACAGAAGGCAGAATGCTACACTGGCACAGTAGACAGGATCCCACACTGGTCGAGAAGGCAGGATCCCACACTGGCACAGGAGACAGGATTCCACTGGTACAGGAGGCAGGATTCCACACTGGTACCGGAGACAGGATTCCACACTGGTAGAGAGGGCAGGATCCTACACTGGCACAGGAAACAGGATCTCACACTGGTACCGGAGACAGGATTCCACACTGGTAGAGAAGGCAGGATCCCACACTGGTACCTACAGAAGGCAGGATCCCACACTGGTACCAGAGAAAGGATTCAACACTGGTATAGAAGGCAGGATCCCACACTGGTACCGGAGACAGGATTCCACACTGGTACAGAAGGCAGGATCCCGCAGTGGTACAGAAGGCAAGATCTCACACTGGTACAGAAGGCAGGATCCTCCACTGGTACCAAAGACAGGATTCCACACTGGTACAGAAGGCAGGATCCCACACTGGTACAGAAGGCAGGATCCCACATTGGCACAGGAAACAGGATCTCACACTCAGGCGCGGATCCAGGGGGGGGCGGCGGGGGCGGCCGCCCCCCCCCCCGACATCCGAAAAAGGCGCCCTGCATAGCCCGCGGCAGAGAGGGCGCCCCGAGCAAAACAGAGGCGACACAGCAAAGGTTGAGCAGAAATAGGGCGCCTCCAGCAGAAGTTGGGCTCACCAAGCAGGAGAGCGACGCCCAATTGCCCATTCCCAGCAGATCAGAGTCGCCCCAGAAGCAGATGGGCGCCCCCAGCAGAAGAGGGGCGTCTTATTACAAGAATAAAAAGATGCCTTCTGTTCAAGAGGGGCACTCCTGGCAGGAGAGGTGTCCCCCTGAAGAGGAGCGACGCCCCAGCAAAAGTAGAGAGGCGCCCCCATTCCAAGAAGAAGAGGGGCGCCCTAACAGCAGATAGGCGCCCCAACAAAAAAAAAGAGAAGCCCCATAATAAAAAATGGGTGCCACTGGCAGAAAAGGGGCGCCCCCGGCAGCGGAGGGGGCCCAGCAGGAGAAAGGAGCCTCCAGCAGGAGACGGGCGCCCCAGCGAAGGGGGGCGCCCCAGCAGAAGAGAGGAGCCCCCTGCAGGAGAGGGGCGCCCCCAGCAGAAGAGGGGCGCCCCAGCAGAAGAGAGGCGCCACAGCAAAAGTTGATCAGAGATGGGGAGCCTTCAGCAGAGGTTGGGCTCGCCAAGCAGGATAGGGGCGCCCCATTGACAATTTCTGGCAGAAGAGAGACGCCCCAGCAGTAGATGGGCGTCCCAGCAGACAGCAGCTGTTGGGCGCCCCCGGTAGAAGAGGGGCGCCTCATTACAAGAAGAAAAGGAGTATATTCTGCACAAGAGGGGCGCCCCTGAGGCAGCGGAAGGGCAACCCCAGCAGAGGGGCTGTGCCCCAGTAAAAGGAGAGTGGTGCCCCGCTCCGAGCAGAAGAGGGGCGCCCAAGCAAAAAGAGGAGCCCCATAAGAAGAAAAGGGGTGCCTCTGGCAGGAGAGAGACGTCCCCCGCAGTGGAAGGGCGCCCCCAGAAGAGGCGTCTGTAGCAAAAGATAAGTGCCCCTGCAGGAGAGGGACACCCCAGCAAAAGTTGGGCAGAAATGGGGCGCCCCCAGCAGAATTTGGGGTCGCCGAACAGGAAAGGGCCGCCCCATTCACAGTAGAAAAAGGGACTCCCCAGCAGCAAAGGTGTGCCCTAACAGAAAAGGTGCACTCCCAGTAGAAGCGGGACGCATCAAGAAGAAGAGGGGCACTTCTAGCAAAAAATGGGCGTCCCAGATAAGTGGGCCGCCTACAGCAAATTGGTCGTTCTTAGAAGAAATGAGGCGACTTCAGCAAAGTGAGCCTCCCCATGACGGATTGGGCGAACCAAGCAGAGGTTGGGCGCCCCCGGGAGAAGTGAGGCATACCAGCATAGGTGAGACGCTTCCAGAAAAGAGGGACATCACCGGGAGAAGAAGGACGCACCAGCAAATGGAGGCCACCTTTTTGCTTATCTCTTTTGCTAACGAAGCGGCGCCAATCTACGACATTTAAGTTTTAACCCGCGCCGTGCTAGTGGTCTAAGTTTTTCGTGCCGTGCTGGGGGGGGGGGGGGGGGTCACGCCCCCTCGTCTAACTCGGCTCTTGGGCCGCGTAGCGACACGCGGTAAGCGGTATTCGAAAGATCGTCCAAAAACAGGACGAAAACAACTCTGTCCTTTTTTAGGTCAGGTGAAAGGTCAGGTCACCATAGGTCATCAAAAGTAAAATGTTGCCTATTTCAACATTTTTTTTTTCGAAACACCGGCACATACCTAACTCGGAAACCAATACAGCTATAGTGCAGCGGAAAAGTGCATTCGATAGCCCTTTCAAAGGTGTTTCCGTAACCTGTCCTCAGATATGACGCAAGGTTAACGGTTTAGTCTTC